ATATTACAATATAATATCAAATCTATTGTTATCACTATAGTTGTCGTTTACGCGTTTACCATGTACAGAGTATGTGGTCGATGGAAGACACAGCTAAAGCCGGGTTCGCACTACATCATATCGCGTAAAAAGATTTTCTCCGATTGGCTGAACCAGATTGTTCCATTGCGTATACCATATATTATGCTACATCGTTATTTGAAACAAATGCACCCTACCGCCCATTACAAATTTTTCGATTTTTTTTTTTTGGAACTTACTTATTTTTATTATTATAGTACAATTGTATAATCAGTATTTGTCAATCAGACTATCGGTTTCGAAGTCCTGGCCTTAGGAAGTTAGAAATTTTGTGTTTTGTACGCATTCTGGCATCACTCAATATAGTTTACTGAGTATTACGAATATTGATGTTTTTTTTGGATACTTGTGTACTTCAAAAAGTTAAGAATAGTGGTGAAATCATAATTTGTTAGCCGGACAGACTAGTAATGTGAAAATTCCTGGGAATGTAATTACAGGAAATTCCCGGTAAAATAATGATTTTTTTTAAATATTGACCAATGTTTCAATATTAAAATAAAAGTATAGTTGTAAATGATACAAATTACAGATATTTTATATCCAAAAATATTGCAGCCTAATACAGGAGAATAAACTCAACTTAACTAACTGATATAAATGTCACTATAAAATATGAGTAAAATAAGTATTTATTAATTTATTATATTATTATAGTGACTCATCCCTTCGCCTGCCATCTCCGGTCACAGTAACCGCCTTCATGATACTAGGAAAGCAATGAAAACATGGAAAGCATAAGTAATAACATAAAGGGCGCTTATTGTTTCCTCGTTTACTCAATATGACACATTGTGTTTTTTAGTTAGGAGATGTTACTCACTTTCACCGCTCGTAGAACTTAGCCCATTTCTCATAATTATTAATATTGATAGATTAATATATATTAAAGACTAAGACTGTTAAATCATCACTATAGCCCTATTATTTTATAAACCCGTCCTTAGAATATAAAGTTAAATAACTCAAAAAATACTGAATTTTGCTTCTGATACTTCAATATTTTCAGAAAAATTATCCACTGAATAATTTACAGTTGAAAAGCGACGTTCTCATTTGAAAAACAGAACTTCATATCTCCACAGGACACTACTTAAGTAATACAAAAAATCTCAAAAATTTGTAAGCATTGTCTTAAAACTTAAAGTGTATTTAAAAATTCCAAAAATCAGATTTTTATAACTGCACTATTGGAGAAAAAAGAGGGTGAGCAATGAGGATGTTTGGTGAATAACCCTGTATAGTATATATTATATTATAATATAATAGGAACATACTAAAGATTACAAGAACATATTGATATGTGGTTATAGCTGGTGCCATGATAGTATGATACCGGCCATGTGTAAATGGAATTTATAATAATATCAAGGTCTATCGGGTCACATTGTCACAACAATTCTACGTTTCCGCCAACATTATAATTTGACAATTTGACATTATATAAAACGGTAAATGAAGTAAATCAGGTTTATATGGTAAATCTACTTTATAACAGATTTTTATGGCATATAATATTGTCCACAGAAGTATAATAATCTAATGTGTTATTCCAACTGACTTCAACCTATATAAAAATAACATAACGATATTTTTAGTGGAGGGGGGGCGATCAGCACCCTTCCCTTTTTGTTAGGCAAACATTTTATTTGATACCGAGTATGTAGTACCAAAATAGTTACTATATCGATAATTATAAATCATGTTAAAATATTGGGCGGTACTGGTTTGCGCACAAATACCAAAAAGACAACTTTTTTGGGCACAAAATTACCACTCGTTTGGGAACAGTTAAGCCGTAAACATGCACATGGTTTGCGCACAGTTACCTTCTGGCCTGACCTTTTAATACCCTCTTAATAAGTAAATTATTAAAGTACCTACATACATTTAAGTTCTCACGTCTTAACAGACTTAGGACTGTCTATGAATAGTATGAATATATTCATAGGTGTGGTTAAAAATGCACGTTAATACTTGCTTATTATTAATAATAATTGTTAATAAATTTTGTTAAAAATGCATATAATATAATGTTTGTGTAAAATGTGTTAATTTTAATTTTAATATAGTGATATTATAGACCTATAGTCGATATGATTAGGAAACGTGTCTATTATTTTCAGTAATAAAACTGTTACGAATAAAGGGGCTGTGTGTATTTTGTTTAAAGAGCAAAAATATAGAAAATATTCTATATTCTAATATTTTATATAAAAATATTCTTATAAGACAGCAATTTTCAAATAACTATTTATAGAAAATAATATTAGTATAATATAGTATACATATATAATATAATTTTTATAAGATATATAAATTTAGAAAAACTACTTATATAAAATATTTATTTTGGCGCAAATGATATGTCATTTTTAACAGTTAACAGTTAAGTTAATGAAAAGCCAAAAGTAACTAGTTAAGTAAAAAAGTAAATATAAAATTAACTTATTAACTTAACTTTAACTTTTTAACTCGTTAATGCCCAGCCTTGCATTTTTGCACCTTTGGTACTTATGTCATATAGCCTTATTTTCGTGTGCGCAAACCAGTTGTACATTTAGGATAACCGTGTGCGCAAATGAGTTCCGATTTTTCAGGTAAAAATTATAAAATGTGCGCAAACAAGTTGCAGCCAAAATATTAATATAAATCCCCCTCCCGGTCAACTTCTGCTTAATCAAGAGTACCTTTTTTTCCTTTTGAAACCGGGAACGGGGGGGGAACTGTTTAGCACAATACTGCCACCCTAATCAAGAGTACCTGCAATATACAGTTTGTCAGTTTCTAATCGAAACGGGAACCTTTTAAATACAGAACATTTTCTTTGTGAGTGTCAATATTGTGTGTGTTGTAGTAGCGAGCTGATTATTATTGTATGGTTGAGTGTGATGTAGTAGAAAAGACTCAACGAGATGGGGAGGCGGTACTGATCGCACATTCAGCGTATCATCAATCTGTAGTCGACACTCGACATGTTTAATTTTTCACTAAAAATCGTGTAACCACTTTTTGTGCAGCGTACCGGATATAACTGTCGGTAATGCGACAAGAAATCTGAAAATATAATATTTGAATTCGTTACGAAGTTAACTTGAGATCGATCATCAGATCATCCCGCTCTCATTTGAATTACATTTCAAATAATCACTGTTCACTTTATTACTATTTAAAATCGAATTTAAGAGCGAGGGTCAAAATTATAAAAGTGGAATGATCGATCACAAGTAGGTAAACTTCAAACTAAATATAAAATATTTCCTTCGCAGATTTATATTTATTGGACAATTCACGGTAGTCAGTTTCTTGATACAATGAACAAAAAAATTATGTTTTCGTCAAAACAGTCTGCTTCAATTTCCCCGTATACCTAAAAGTATTTCGCTCCAATAATTATGAAATTAAAAATATAACTGCAGCGATTTTCGCTAAGAAAAAATTAAAAACTGAAAATTGATTTTAAATCCTGGGTTTGTTACCTATATCATATACGAACAAAAAATTTTATAAAAATTAATAAATATTTTTTACGAATATAATTTAAAATTTTCAATGTACCTACCTCAAAGACAAAATTATAATTGTAGACGTTACGGGTAGGCTATAAGCGTACGCCTCTGTTGAAGTCACTGTTTCTATACAAATTGGAAATTTAAAATCTCTTCTGTTGAATTTAGAACTACTTTGTGGCGATACACCCACTAGATACATCAAAAATTAAAGTTTTTTCGATGTAGGTTAATAAAGTTGTTTGTTCCTTAATCAAAATGTTTGAAATTTCAACACAAGTTTCCTCGTAAAATTTTAACACTGGTTACAAAAAAAAATAACACATAGGTACCTATACAATATACTATATAGTCATAATTTTTACAAGCTACATAAATTAATTAGGTATACAATACCCTATTGGAGTTTTTTTAACAATAAAATATCAAATAATAACATGACAAGAATGTTTATTTGTATAAATCAATACAATTTGCAGCAGCCAGTAGCCATCTCTTTATAAGTAACTACTAACTAGTTTTTATTTTAGCTCAAGTTCAAACATTATAGACTATATTAAATATACAATTCATGCTATAGAGTATAGACAGTGAAAGTATGAAAATAAATAACAAGATACCTAATTATCATCATTAATTGTTATTCTTCATTTAAATATCTAATTTTGTTGAAATTTGAACTAAAAATGTTTAAAATTTGTGGTGATAAAAAACTTATTTTTAAAATTAGAATATTTACATTTTTCAGAAAATTGTTACACATAAATTGCATGTTCAAATTTTGATTTCAATACATTAAAATTAAAAAAAATCATCTGCTAATCAATTTTAAGAAAAGTATGGATGTTCAGTGAACATTGTTCACATCCAAAAATAAATTTGTGCCATCTCAGGCCACAGTCTAAAACAGTCCATGAATTATTTAAATATTTAAAAATATTATGGTCTTCTAGTAAAAAAAAAAATGGACTTGTATGTATTATTGGTTCATGGGAAATTCTCCACAATAGATAGCTTAATGAAGTACCATACATATTAGTATAATAATATTACAATCAGTAATATTATATTGTGATCTATGATATTAAATGCTAAGTTTTATATTTTAATAAATTAGAACATACATTTTAAATTTCACAATTCAAATTGGAATATTTTTCTGAAAATGTCAGTCAATAACAATTTAATTTTGAACCAGTACTTAGTTAGGTTAAAGTAGCAAAGTGGCACCAACAAAATTTTGATCCATTTCTCTGGTAAAATAAACTTTAAATTTAATAACATATTGTACAAAGATGATGATAATCTATTTGTAGTTAGTCATTAAATAGATAAGTAATGCTGGGTTGCTTGAAAAATGTATTAATTTAAAGGTTCAATAAAATTGAATGGACCAATCATGGGCCACTAAATTATGTTTAAAAGACCATTAGTTCGCTATTGATTCATTAAATGTTTAGTGATTGTTCGTGCAACCCGGCATAAATGTCACAATTAATACTAATATCTCCATATGTACTTAAAAATGTTAAATTTTGTATCATAAAATGTCATACAGAATAACTTTCTTCTAGAATGCATAGAACTATTTATTTTATTAAAAATAAAATCATTACATAACATAAGAAACAGCATAAAACCATAAAAGTAAACATAAAGTACTTTTATCATCAAACTGTAACACAATTTAACAATTTTTACAATAAAGAAATTATGTTATAGCACCTGACTAACATTATTCTTTGGTGCATTTTAATCTTTACCAATCTGTTTTCGTTCATTATTATATTTATCTATTTCTAAGTTTTGTCTAATCTTGTCAATGGCATTACTAATGAAAAATTTACTTGAAGTCTTCTTTTCTACCATCTTTTCTGGTATATACATATCAAATACCCTGTAGTATTTTAGTATATTATCTGTAAAAAAAATAAAACAATAAGTAAATCATGAATATAGTGACACTGTAGTACTGCATATAATATAAAATATACCTTAAAATATTAAAATAATATTAAGCAAGTGAAGTAAAGATTATCCATCAAGTTTACAATGTTTTTTTTTTTATCAATTAGTTAGAGTATGAGGTAAGTACACAAAGTTACAACATATAAAGATTTTGAATGTAGTTGGGCTGGTACAGTAATGAAGGAATATTTCAATTATCTTAGAAATAAGGAAAAATCTACAGATAAACTTTAAAATGATTTTGAACATCAGCAAGTATGATTTTTATAAAACTGTGCATACCATTTTATTTATAAATGCAATGATTTTATCCTATATTAAATTGCACACATTACGATAAATATTAAATGACAGGTGTGTATAGCTCTTAAAAATATTATTAATTAGAAAAATGAATTTAAAAATAATTGTTACAATAAATTCTTACCCGCATGTGTGGTCTCTGTCTTTTATTTAAGAAATAAGAAATCAATTTTTTTAAAGTATTACTATATAGTTTATTTAATGTTAATATATAGTATATTTATTTACAAACTGTGTTTGAGAGTTTTTTTGAAGAATTTTCATTCAATTTTTTTTTTTGAAATGAGTAATAACTAATAAGTACTTAAATTATTTATATTTTCATGTTCATAAAAACTTGTTTTACTATAAAAATAAGAAAAAACTCTGATCGAGCATAATTCATATTCTTCTTTACAAATTTAATAATAAATTAATTTTCTATAATATTAATTATTAATTAAATGTTGAAAGAATTTAGTTCTTAGATTTTCTATATTTCTTTTACACTTGTGTTAGACAGAGACAACACACCGGGTATGACGTCTTCTTAATAACAATCATTCCTAAGACATTATGGTTTGGTTTAATTGGTTGATTGTGGACTCAAAATGGCCTAACGGTTAATACTTCTGTAACTTGAGTACCTAAACAAATGTATAAGTCTATAATCTTAGGTTGGCGTGCGAGCTCGTTCTCGTACTTCTCGGAGGTTCAGATCAGCTGATGAGTGTCATATCTATATTGATCTACATTCTACGAAAACAATGAAATTATTTTATATTAGCTGAAAATGTCAGAAAATCATTTGTTTATATTATTAATCTAAACCAGACTTCAATAAATTGAAGAAACATTTCTAGTTTTACCATTATAACAACATTGTCATATTGAATATTGATCAAATACACTCAAATAATTTGACACAATTCAGTTTCAATATTTTTTTGAATGATTAACTATATTACAAATATAAGTTAAATCTCATAGAAAGTGTAATTAGCAAGTGTTCTGATTAAAATAAATCCTTAAATACAAAATATCTTAGATTGACTTTATGTGATCAATATCATTATTTGATAATTATAACAGAATAGTGTAAGAAAAATAAGTAGGTCATAATTAGGACTGGGATTTCGATGCACTTTGCATTGTTTTTCAAAGCTCGTCTTGTCACAAATTTGTTTTATGTACATTTGAATGAGAATAAGAAAGTTTATTTTGCATTTTTTAGTTTTTAAGTCATTTTCTTAATTTTTTAGGGCATTTTAGATTTTTGGAGCATTTTTTGAGTTTTTGGAAACCAAGTGTATGAATTTGAAATTTTATTTTAAGATTTTAAGATTTTTACACCAACATGGTTTTTAAATAAAAATAACAGATTATAAGTAGGTACTCGTAATTCATATTATATTATCGGACCACCAACTTAAAAAGATTTATACTAAAACTATGTATTTACAGTTTACACTTGTAATAGATTTTTATAATGCATTTTTAAAACTTTTGATTGTAATTTATTCTAAAATTATTAAAAATAAAAAAATTTGTAGATCATAAAAGCATTTTTTTAGGGCATTAAAATCCCAGCCCTAGTCATAATATATTATATGACTTTATATATCAAAACTATATAAAAGTTTGATAGGTCATCTGTTGAATACTGTTATTATTGAACATTTAACATATATAATAATATGTAGTATGTGTGTAATATTAGTTGTAATTAACATGAAAGTTATCTATTATGTATTAAATAATAATTCATATAATAAATATTGATTTTTTTAAATTTTTATTAGCTTCAACCAAAAGTTATTATAGCTCGACAATTAATTGAATAATTATTGTTATATTGTACAATACCTATGTTATTTTGAATAAGATAAATTTAAAAATAGCAATACACTTATTGAAAGTCTATATTTATAGTAATTACTGAGCAGAAATTATTTTTAGCACATAAAAAATAATAATACAAATTGTATTTAATATTAAATAATAATATATTACCTATATAATATAAAAGATGTGGGATTATTATAGGAACTGAAAATAATAATTAGTAACTTAAACAAAAGGGTGTTCTCAACTTGAAAATTAGTTTTATAATGAACTTTTAAAGTATTTTATGTTTATTAATCTAAATAAAACAAAATTAAACATAAAAGTAAAATTGTTAATATTTATTATTTAATATATTTTCCATACAAAGTGGGAAATACATTTATTCACATTAAATTAGATGTAGTTTTAATCAAAATTGGATAGCTTGTTTAAACAGGATTTATAAAGTAAATCTGAAACTATTTGAGTTTGTATCAACAATTGTAAATCTCAAAAATTAAATCACTCTTAAGAAAAAAACAACTATAAATAACTTTTTGGAAATATTTGTGTGGTAAATTACAGATAAATTTTTGGTATTAAAAATAAGATAAATATGATTTAAAAATATTTATTTAGTTTTAATTTTAATTTAAATTGTATGTATTGGTATTTATGTTCTAAAATATTATAATATAATATAAGTTTTTTGCTTGTATTTTAAAATGAAAAAAATTTCTGATTTGCATGTACTTTTTATCCATCCTAACAATCAACCTAATAATACAATATTTCAGAAAACTGATCTAAATTTATTATAATGTCTTCTTGAGATCGGATAGTCTTACATTTTAAGATTTCTGATTTAAATTTTGAATAATCAAAGTTTGAAAATTCTGAAATTTCTAAATATTGAAACTAAATTTATAGTTGTTGAGGTGTTGAAATTAGGACAAATTGACTGACCGATCTCAAGTACACATAATAACAAATTCAAATCAGTTTTAAAAAGTATTATCACATAACTAGGTCCATCAAAATATTGGTATGTTTTGGTTATAAGTACTATCCACCACCTATCCCTTTAAAAACCATATGAAAAATATCCTGAAATATTGCATCTGCATTAGTACGTATTATATTAATATGTATTAGAAATGTCTACTAAGACTAACCTTTCGATAATATTTCACTAACATGGAAAGGAAACTTGTTCATCATTACAAGTTCTAATTGTAAGTTAAGTGTACAGATTTGTAGACTTTGAATGATTTCATCAATCAAAAAGCCTAATTAGAAAATGTAATGATTTATTGCCGAATAAACAAAGGATATCTACTTTATAATAAAGATAATTAACAAATATGAATGGTTTCCATAATATTTTAGGGGCTCATATTGTTAACTTTGTCTAATTTTCCAACTTTTCAACTTTAAACATAATATTTTATACACACCCATTAATTTCTTATCAATTTTAACTCGATCAGCTAAAACTTGTGATGAGTATATTTTTTTATCTTTATAATGATCAGCTATACATTCAGTAATTTGAGTAAGTGTATACCGTCCTGGAGGAACATTTTCTGGTTCTTGAAACGTGAACGCCGTATTAAATTCTTGTGCTCGATTTTGTGGCAACTTGGCTTTTGATGTGGGGTAAACATTAGGTAACTATAAAACAAAATATATCATATTATACGTTCTACCTTTAAGGTAATTGGTTTTAATAATAATCAACAGTTTGTATGTACTTACATCACCTTTGGATGTAACATAAACACTTTGTAAATTTTTTCCAAGAGTTGAATTTTTATTCACTAGCTCTTCTTTCAGTTGTGGATCATCTGAAATCAATCCGAAAATAATATCAACCATGTGTACATATAATATTACATTACAATTACTTTCAAGAAGGTGTTTCAGCCGATCAGCGTCTGCTTTATGCAATGGCGCTGGTATAGGTTTATCTTTGTTTATTACTCGTTCTGTCCGTTCGACTACGTTAAACCTTCGTATGCGCTTCGTAAAATGAGATCCAGCTACTCCCATAATAGGTAGTTCAAAAAATTGTGAACTATAAAATACAACAAGAATATTATAACAATTTGAGTAGAAAACATAGTACAAAATTTATTTCACAGAATAGAAAATTCATACTGATTTTTTTTTTGGAACACCACAACAATAGTAAATTACAATTTTTTTAAACTAAATATATTATTGATTATTTCAATAATTTCAACCAAAACTTTCCTGCTTTTGAAATTTGAATTGATATTTAGTTAATTCGATTTTAATACGTAACCTTAAACTGGCATTGATTGATAATTTCATATGATAATGGCATTATCATTTATCACTTTATCTTGTGAATGGTAGTAGCACGGTTTAAGACCGTACAACAGTACTAGGTATAAAAGATAATCTCTATTCTAAAACTGGGTAATAATCGTTAGATGGCGTTGACATTATTTGGATATTGACTGTAGTTGAGGTCCAAACACGATTTAAGATAATATACTAAGATACTACTTTAGATATATTTAAGTATATCTTAAATCGTGGGTCCAAATAGCACTATAGACTATAGTGCTTCAAATATTATTATTTATAGTTTATAATTTATGTATATTTTATTCCATAATCCATGATGATACCTACTTACAAAATATATCTTATACGAGGTATCTTAAATCGCGGTCGAAGCCATTACTTAATTTATTACACTTACTATATTTAGTGCTGGGAAGTAACTTTTTAATAAGTAGTGTAACGAAATTACTTTTTACGTAATTTTGTGGTAATGATTTAATTCTCAATAATGATGATCGTAATTACATTTTATTGTGAGTAATTAATTCATAATTCAAGTTAATTTTTTTTACTAAAAATACTCAATTACCTGTTTGTTAAGATTAGTTTTTTAATCAATTTCAAGAATTAAATGATGATAATATATGTACATTTATTATAAGAGCACTATTTTCTGACAGTTCTTGTCATTTAAGTAAATAGCTATTTGATAAGAAAAAGTTGCATTTTTAATAATTAGGTGGTAATTAATATATCAGGTGTAACTATAGATATTAATGTATAATCTTTTTAAATTATTTTATATATATTTTTAATTTTTTTTTACCTGCAATTGTTGGTGTAATTCATATAATATTATATCCGTCTTACAATCTATGGACATTATTGAGAACGGATTTGAATGAAAATTGCATTTTTTTCTGAAAGTCCGAAGCATTGCTTTCCAGTACGAAGTTAATTTCATACATCAAGGAATTAAAAAACGTAACTTTTATTTTGCATTTTTGGTCTTTATTACGTCTTTCATGAGCATTTTTGACCCTTTTTAGTGCATTTTTATGTTTTTAAGTCATTTTTATATAGAAATGGATAAAATTCGATATAAATATAGTTAACATTAATTCTAAAAAAATAAAAATAAATATTCATTATGTTTTTATCGATCAGGTAAATGTGACGCCAGACGAAGTTTTTGTTGACGCATGTAGACAGTAGACACTAAGGTATATACAGATATAAAACATACATGCAATTGCCAATTAAGTAAAGATGAGGAAGCTATTTATCTAAATCCTAATTTTATGTTAGACTGTTGAGTGTAGACATTACTTCATCGTTTAGTATCTTGTATAACCTCGTCGTTAACGTTTTCGAGTGATTTTTGTAGATTATGTTGTAAACAAATTTTTCAAAATTAAAAATAATTTTAAGAGCATTTTTTAAGTGCATTAAATCTTATTTTAAGGCATTTTATAATTTTGTAGATTTATTAATAACAACAATGAGTATATTTATAGAAACTATCAACTAATACCTAATGTGTACTATTGACTATTGTACTAATTAACTTGTACAGAATGAGAAAAAAACTGCATTAAATCAATAGTATACATCGTATTGTAGTATTATACAAAACATAAAACAAACTGTACAATAAGTTGCGTAGTAGTAAAGTTTCGGGCGCAAACCGATCCACGACGTGGAAAAATAAACCGGTATCTTCATTGATTAAATATTTAATCAATGGTATCTTGTAGCTAGACCGTATAAAATCTGATTTTTATGAAACGCTTAGACACAGTTGTGCGTAATCTTTACACATCAGTTACGGTAATAATTTTTTTGCGATTTGTTGATCACACTAGATTATTGCTTGAATTGTTAAATATATATTACCAAAATATGACAAACAGTCCTAGCAGTGTCGTCGTCTTGGATACAATGTGTATGTGTCTATGTAATGGTGCTCAGGTTCGATGATTGGTTCAGAATTTCAAATGCACTTGAACCTTTTCTAAACTTTTCTACCACTACTTACGTGAATACGTATATTATCAACTAGAGACGTGTCAGAATTTGATGCCACTTACACTAAATAAAAAACAAGACTAAGTATAAAAGTTGAACGTAATAACAGTGGGTACTTAAAATGTGTAAAACAAAACATGAATCAATACATCGTGGTAAAGTATATAATATAATTGAAGCAGTGGATGTGATTCGTGAATACGTCGTGATTGTCCTTTTACCAAGATCCTGAAACAACTGATAAGCGGTGAGCTAAAGGAGTCTATTATCACCCAAAAATATATTCACCCAACGGGAAGTCTGTTGCATCCAAGATCCACACATTTATAATTTCGACTTTAAAATGGTTGATGGTCGATGGACAAAAACCGCACACTTTTGTAGACTCATTGTTTAGAAAAATACAAAAAAATATTTTTAATTTACAGGCCAAATGTATTCTAAATTTCGAAACGTCAAAAATGTTTACTAATTTTACCAAAACGTTTTGTAGAATCAACATATTTTGTTTTAAGTTATGATATTCTTACCATTCAAAATAAAAAAAATTATTGATGTTTACAAATAATATGAAACTGTTGGTGTAACACGTAAAAAATAATATAGAATTGTATTGTGATTGTTGTGATGAGCACTAAGATCAATTATTCAATTATAATTTATTTTAGACTTTGTTATTCAAACAAATATATAAATAAAAAATAATGTATCTTACATTTAATAATATACTAATATATACATTTTTAAGTAGTTAAAAAATTTTCGGTTTATGGATACTACATCTCGCCTATACTTGTCATTGTCCAATGTCCATCACTTCAATTTTGGTAAACCTATCAATATTTGTTAAATAGTTCTCCCTGACAGCACATATTGATTCATTCGCATTGTCAGGAAAGTGCTCAAGGGGAGAATGAGGGTAACAATAACCCCTCTTTGGATTATTTTTTTCATATAAAATATATGACAAAGCAATACAAGTAGATTTACCGTTTATGATGTGATCTGAGAACAGTCAAAAAATCATATCTCCCCCCCCCCCTTTTCAAAGAAGCTGAGCATGCCACTGATTATTATTGTTAATAAATAATTAGTGTTGAAGTGTAAATATCCACGAATAGGTAAAATGACTCAACTAAAAAAAATAGTTTTTTTCGGAGAGTATCATATTATTATTATAACCACTGCATCAATTAATAGTAATAATATGCGTTGATACAAATTTACAATTTCTTGTAAATTTCTAATAATGTTTTAAATTCTGAGAGGTGCGATGAATGTATTGATTTTACAATGATGTGTGTTTTTTTATTTTTTACTACTGTGGGACAGTTAAGTACTTCGATTTTCTTCAACAGTCACTTTTCTGATAGGAAAGCTATTAGTGGGGTTGTATGTGTTGGCTTATATTGTTAGAAATGCACAGTGTGAAATGCGAAATGCACTAAACTCGGAAAAGAAAAGTAATTAAGAGAACGAAACATCAAATGATACAGTATAAACACTGTAACCACTTATTAAATTTATATTTGAAATGTCCTCCGGCAAGTCGTCATCAATAAGGCATAATATTGGAAGTTGTTCGTTTTATTTAACGTAGCACAATGTAATTATTTTAAAATATATTCAATTGTAAGTTTAAGTTACAATTCTGATATAGGAAAGTGAATCTAGTTGGTGCATTCGGGAGGTCAAAATTTAAAATTCTCAATAGGTTTCATTGGAAAAACAAACAAAAAATTAAGGAAAAACTGGAATTTGTACGCAAAAGTAGTTTTAAAAAAAATCGATTTTGATTTATAGTGGAAATTAAAAAAAAATTTAGAGTGAGTCCATCACAACAATTTTTTTTTTTAAGCGTCTGAGTTTCAAATTTCGACAAAATACGTAAAAATCACGAACATTTGAAAAATTATTTGAAGTTAAAAAATTCATAAATATTTTCTTTTCATATCTAAGATTTGAAAATGTATAACAAGGTTCTACGTAAGTAATTAATTCTGTAACCAAAAAAATATAAATACAAAAGCAGCTTTTTTTATAGTTATATTAGGTTCAAATTTAGATGAAATTACATATTAACACAAAGAATAACGATTTTAATAATTTTGTTGTAATTTGGTTCCAAAAGAGCCCAATTTTACATAAGTAACTATTTTTCCAGCACCACTGGTAGTTTAAGAATAATTGTATGAATAATATTAATTCAACTTACCGGCTACCGTATTAGTAATAAGTAATAACAATATACAATATACTAGAATGACACATACCGTCTCCGCTCAGAATCGTTTTTCGTATACAATGATATTATATCATTGAATTCAAATTTAATACCATCTACTACAGTGACATTCTGGACATTTATAATGTACTGCTGAGCGACATCCATTTATCCGCTTTTTTAATTTCATATTACATTACTAATTTTAAAATATAATATGAACGTATTGTACCTACTACTTTTAAGAAAATTACAATTTTGGAGAAAATGGGAATTGGTTGATATTTTTGTTTGGTGGATAGCTGTAAAGGTACACTTTTGGTGGCAACGAGTTTATCGCCCATAATTGCCACTCATTTTTGCCATTAAAATTACCTTTAATGAATACACCGACGTAGAATTAAGAAGTTCGATAATGATTGTTTTTTTTTAATTATAGATAACTATAACATTTCAAAATAAAAAGAATAAAAAATTGTAGATATTCTATTTTCAAAAATTATGCTCAAATTTATAACCACACTGCAGGTTTACCGTTAAAAATGTATTATATTTATTCGTGGTCAATAAACCAAGCCAAATACTTTTTAACTCAACACCCGAACCCCGATCGTTCTAGTATCGTGTTCCAATATTGTAATACAGTTATCTGAATGGAAACCGAACAATGTATATTTTCCAAAGTGTAGGTAGGTGCGTGGTAGAAAGACAAACGACAAACGATTTGGCGATCCGATCGTATAGGTATGCACT